CGAGAAAAATGTTTCAGACAAATCGTATGTGCTTTTAGCCAAAGATTCCGAATATGCAATAAAAAATAGGGGTTCCCATTTAAGATTTCAAACTTGCCCCCTCCCCTTACCGCCCAGGGGGCGGGGTGGGGAGGGCTGATTTTAACGTCAGTGTATGTTACCCTCGGAATGATGAAATATTGATTCTTCACATTTTTTCTTAGTGTGCTTATTTTTTGAGATATTTGAAAGTTTCAGGTTTAAAAAATCACCCTGTATAAACTTTTTAAATAAATTTTGCTTGAAATGCTTGTTATACTGAAAATAATTTAAAAAATCAAAATATATATACGTCTTATTTATGAATTACTTGCCACACATTATCGCTATTACTCTCAGTAATTGACTCGCACCAATTTGGATTGGAAAGTTGATTCTGAGATTTAATAAAGTGATGACATATTTACTAAAATAAAAATTTTTTTTTATCTGAAATTGTCGGAGAAATGAATATCAGATGTTGCTAATAGAAGGTTAATATCAATGTTGGTATAGCTTTTTTCGAAATCTTGCAAGTATAATATTTCTTAAATTGTCTTAAATATTTCTTTCTTGAGCTTCTTCTGACATTTGTCCTATAGGAAGTAATGCAGCAAAAATAATTGCGGAGCCATGTGTAAGATTTTATGAACAGCCAACATGTTATATATGTATACTAGGAATAAAGATTAATATAGGGGATAACGGGGCTAAGTGGGCATCTTTTTGCAATCGCAATTTTTAATAATAAAATAAACGATTTTAGTCAAATGATTATTAGCGTTTTATAGAGTGATTATAAGACTACAAGATAGCAATAAAAAGTTTTGCTGTTTGCAACTTCATTTCATCCATATTCACAAAAAATGATGTGATCTTGGAAAATGAAATTTCAAGAATGCCGGGGCTAAGCGAGCATTCTTTTCTTCAATTGCAATTTTTGTATATGTGATTCGGAAAATGAAATATCTCAAAAATTATTTTTAATTATCGAAAACACGTTTGACTACCTAAATATAATAACGCGGCACCAAAACTAACCAAACATCGTTGATAAAGAAAACACACGAGATGCCTTCTACAATATAAATTGGGAACTCATAAGATATATTTTTGCCACTTAAAATTCAAATGCCCCCCAGCTTAGCTCCGGTGCCTATTTAGCTCCGGTTTCTCCTGTTATACAGTACGGCAATGCTTTTTGGATTTTTGAGAAGGAAGATTTGAGAACGTAGCAGATATAACAAAAATTAGTAAAGAATTAATTCATAGATTTGAAGTAATTAAAAAAATTATCTCTTGCGGATATGAAATTAATACAAATTCATTTTAAAAAATACGGTTTTTGCAAATTGTTTAAGAGCATATGTATTAATTTCATATTCGCAAGATATTTTTTAAATTACTTCAAATTAATGAATTAAATATATATTAACTCCTGTTATATCTTCTGCAGCATCTTCAATTTTAAAAAATCTTTCCATTATTTATGGTCTTACTTCCATCAGGTTTTTGTTGATATACAATAAGTCTCAATTTTGTTCGAAATTTTCTCTGAATTTCTTTTTTGCGCCGAGATATTATTTCTTTTTTTTTATTTCTTCTAATTTGTCATTCTTTAACTTTTAGTCGATGAGAAACATGAAGCAAAAATTCGAAAAAGTAAATTCATACATACAATGTTGATAACTCGAATTGAAATGTTGATATATTAACCTTTTTGATTATTCTGCATATAAAAATGTTACAGTAAAGTTATCAAAAAATCAATAGTTTATGAGATTTTATACTTTCCGGTAAATATAGACATGAATTACAAAATATCTCAAAAACTGTTAATTTTTTATTTTTCGTAAATGATTGATTTCAATTATTTTTTGATATTTTTACAAACAAAATAAGAGGAATCAATTGGTATAAAGAAAACACATAGTTTATCCATTAAAAAATTATCCATTTGCCTACATATTTTTAAGCAGCTACGTATTTTATACTATGTATTCAAGAGCACGCGAAAAATTTTAATATATTAAATTGATTTTACAATTTATTTTGCGTATTAATTTCTGCGTCCGACTCCTATTGCCCTTTCTCTTATTATTCTTCTCCCTTTCTCTTATTATAATTCTAAAGCAACTGCGGTGTATTTTCTTTACACCAATTGATTATTTCATTATTCTGTTCATAAAAGTATTAAGAGATGCGATTATTAAAAAATTAATAACTTACGAGATATTTAATATTTCATGTCCATACGTGTCTTAATAAGGTATAAAATATCTCGTAAACTATTTGGCTCTTTCGTACGTATTTCTACCATAATACTTTTATGTACAGAACAATTGGAGGAATCATATTATGTAAAAAAAAATATAAAATATATAATTAATAAAATATAATATATATTACAATATATAATTATAAAATATATAATTTAATTAAAAATTCATTAGATAATCTTAATCCGATTTTAAGGAAATTTTCTCAAGGTCAATCAAGGGCATCATCTTCTCCTCTTATAAATGAGCAATTTTTATTTAAAACGTTTTTGTTTTAAGGAGATATTTTACTGGATGGATTAAATGGACCACTTTGTATACAGGGTAGTTGCGTATATATATACGTATAT